ATAGATAGATAGATAGATAGATAGATAGATAGATAGATAGATAGATAGATAGATAGATAGATAGATGTCACAACGTAGTGGAATCAGGCACTCGTCAATTTTTGGGCATGTAGAGCTACTGGTATCATCCAAAAGCTGATTTATTTGCCTTGCTTCAAGGAAATAAATATCCATCTATCTTGAATAGAACTCAAGATATACTACTCAAAACAAGTAAGGGACCACTGCAGTTTTCACTGTATTATGTTTGAGACTGGGTGACAAACAAATATTGAGGAATTAGTTAAGGGAGTTGATGTCATTGTAAGTATGTGACACATTTCGTTGAATTTACGCTTCCTAGACTGGGTGAAAGGGGGCCAATTTTTCGTAAAATTGAACCTGTTTATGACAACCGCTCACGGGATTTTCAGTGAAAGGTATGGGTTAAAATCCATCTAAGGAGAATTCACGCTTCCTACACTCATGCCTGAGTGGGTGACGGTGCCAGGGGTATTTATTGCGGCCACATTAAGCGATTTTTAACAATGTCTCCAAGAAGACGTCTGAGCAACATCTACAGGGGGCCAACCCTAGCCTGGCTCGTCGAAGGGATTGCTGTCCGTGGTGTGGCAAGACGGCTTACTGTGAGTCACAGTGATCATCAGACTGAGAGGCCGGGTTGCTGTGAGTCACTCAGTGATCGTCAGACTGAGAGACCGGGTTGCTGCAACTACAACTGCTGTTGAACGAAGGCGGTCCGCACGGCCACGTTGCATCACACGACGAGAGGACTGGGTGATCGCCAGAACAGCCCTGGCAACTCGAACATGCACTGCCCGTCAGATTAGACAGCAGGTGGTACCCCCAGGCAACGTTGGAATGAGCGACCAGACCATTAGAAACCGGCTGCGTGAGATTGGTCTACGCTCCAGACGACCAACAGCCCAGGTGCCACTGACACAGGCCAACCGCATTTACCGCAGAAACTGGTCCGCCCAGCACCTGAGGTGGACACGACCGCAGTGGTCTACTGTGCTCTTCACGGATGAGTCCAGGTTCACATAGTCCTTCAACGATGGCAGGATCCGTGTTTGGAGGCGTCCTGGTGAGCGCTTCCACGACGATTGTGTACAGGAGCATGACCGGTATGGAGGAGGATCCGTTATGGTGTGAGGTGGGATTGGACTCAACCGCCGGACCCCCCAGCATCGCATTCAAGGCACTCTGATGCGTATCCGCTAGAGGGACGAGATTCTCCACCCCATTGCAATTCCAGGTGTGCGCTACTCCAGAACGACAACGCCAGACCTCACCTCGCTCGAGTGGTGGATGACTTCCTGCAGCAGCAGCACGTGATCAGGCTTGACTGGCCAGCCGGATCACCGGACCTTAGTCCCATTGAACCCTTGTAGGATGCTCTTGGGCGCCGAGTAAGAGATCATCAGCCACCCCCAAACAATGTGGATGAATTCTTTAACATTTTGGACCAAGAATGGCAAGCCATTCCACAACTGACATTGCAAACACTTATTCAGTCCATTAGACAAAAATGCAATGACTGTTTTCTTGCCAGGTGGCCACACGCGATTTTGAGCCCTATTTGTTTAAGACGGTTGTGATGTGAATTTTAAAAACATGGGTTACCTCCTTCAGCATCTGAAATTATCCATTATCCTTTTAAAAATAATCAAAATGTCGTTTGCAAATCCTCTCAAACAATTTTGAACCGTGTCATTATTTTCAGTTTTATGTCCTAGGTGTGACTTTAAGTGGTCCTTAACTTTTTTTGTAGTATATTTGTGAAGGGAGCTGACTAAATGAGTTACTTCTCGGATTCGAGCCCTATGGAAATCGCTACATCACGCTTATAGGTGAAGTTTTTACAATATATAAGTATGAAATAATATAAGGCATGTTTTGCTTTAAGAATATGACATCAATAGAAAATCTACAAATTTGGTCCTATTGTCGATTTTTGGCTAATATCTCCACTTGTGGATTGTGAGAAGTAACTCATTTTGTCAGCACACCTTACATTTGCAATTGAAGGAAGTGAGGTCACCTCGTTTCAGTGGTGAAATTAGACTGAAAATGGTCTCCAATGTTTGGTAACTCCAAAGCTAAAGAGTCCTAGAGAATAGAAAAATGACATACTTTGAGCGTTTAATTAATGTTCACCAGTAAAACTCTCTTGGAAATTTGTTTTTATTTTGACATGAAAGAGGTAGAGCCAAGAAAAAGAAATTCTATAAAAATTTCCAAACTGGCGGGAAAATGCCTATTTGCCCGATTTCTGTTTTTGACGAGCACCGGATTTCACCACACTGCCTCATACACACACACACACACACACG